CATCTTCTCATCTTCACATCTTCTCTCTTGCCCTCTTGCTCTCTCCTTCTTTTCTATTTCTCTCTTGAAGGTGCAGGGCAGTGCCAACAAGACGGCACGAAACGCAACCCTTTCGCACGAAATGAAGTTCGATCGCCAAAACTGAAGTAAAATTGCGATTTCACTTGTCCCGTCGCAACCCTTTCGCACGAAATGAGGTTCGATCGCCAAAAACTGGGGTAAAATTGCGATTTCAAGTCGTCCGGTCGTCCGGCGCAACCCTTTCGCACGAAATGAGGTTCGATCGCCAAAAACTGAGGTAAAATTGCGATTTCAAGTCGTCCGGTCGTCCGGCGCAACCCTTTCGTACGAAATGAGGTTCGATCGCCAAAAACTGCAGTAAAATTGCGATTTCAAGTCGTCCGGCGCTTTCGCACGAAATAAGGTTCGATCTCTGCCAAAAACTGGGGTAAAATTGCGATTTCAAGTCGTCCGGTCGTCCGGCGCAACCCTTTCGCACGAAATGAGGTTCGATCGCCAAAAACTGCGGTAAAAAGGCGATTTCAAGTCGTCCGGCGCAACCCTCTTGCAAGGAATGAGGTTCGATCGCCAAAAACTGCGGTAAAATTGCGATTTCCAAGTTGCCCGGTGAAGTGTGTAAGAGCCTCTGTGTGTAAAAGCGTCTGTGTGTAAAAGAGTCTGTGTGTAAAAGCGTCTGTGTGTAAAAGCTTCTGTGTGTAAAAGCTTCTGTGTGTAAAAGCTTCTGTGTGCAAAAGCTTCTGTGTGTAAAAGCGTCTGTGTGTAAAAGCGTCTGTGTGTACCAGCTGCTGTGTGTAAAAGTGTCTGTGTAAAAGCTTCTGTGTGTAAAAGCGTCTGTGTGTAAAAGCGTCTGTGTGTAAAAGTGCCTGTGTGTACAAGCGCCTGTGTGTAAAAACTTCTGTGTGTAAAAGTGTCTGTGTGTAAAAGCGCCTGTGTGTAAAAACTTCTGTGTGTAAAAGCTTCTGTGGGTAAAAAGCTTTTGTGTGAAAAAGCTTCTGTGTGTAAAAGCGTCTGTGTGTAAAAGCTTCTGTGTGTAAAAGCTTCTGTGTGTAAAAGTCTCTGTGTGTGAAAGTGTTTGTGTGTAAAAGCGTCTGTGTGTAAAAGCGTCTGTGTGTAAAAGTGTCTGTGTGTAAAAGCGTCTGTGTGTAAAAGTCTCTGTGTGTAAAAGCGTCTGTGTGTAAAAGTGTCTGTGTGTAGCAGCGTCTGTGTGTAAAAGCGTATGCGTGCAAAAGTGCTGTGTGTAAAAGGGTCTGTGTAAAAGCTTCTGTGTGTAAAAGTACCTGTGTGTAAAAGTGTCTGTGTGTAAAAGCTTCTGTGTGTAAGAGTCTGTGTGTGAGAAAGTATTTGTGTGTAAAAGCGTCTGTTTGTAAAAGCGTCTGTGTGTAAAAGCTTCTGTGTTTAAAAGCATCTGTGTGTAAAAGTGTATTCGTGCAAAAGCGTCTTTGTGTAAAAGGGTCTGCGTGTAAATAAACGCTTCTGTGTGTAAGAGCATCTGTGTGTAAAAGCTTCTGTGTGTAAAAGCTTCTGTGAAAAAGCTTCTGTGTGTAAAAGCGTCTGTGTGTAAAAGTCCCTGTGTGTGAAAGTGTTTGTGTGTAAAAGCGTCTGTGTGTAAAAGCGTCTAGTCTGTGTGTAAAAGTGTCTGTGTGTAAAAGCGTCTGTGTGAAAAAGCCTCTGTCTGTAAAAGCGTCTGTGTGTAAAAGTGTCTGTGTGTAGCAGCGTCTGTGTGTAAAAGCGTATGTGTGCAAAAGCGTCTGTGTGTAAAAAGTTCTGTGTGTGAAAGGCTATACGAAAGATACGATGCAAACTATTGTTTTGCGCTTGTGATATATTGTCTTGATACTACTCTTCTCGTCTGCTTATGATACATCTTTAATATATTGCCTTGTAATACAGTGTCTCCATACTAACAACAGAAGACTCTGCTCCTCTACGCTCTCGGGCCATCCGTCGTCTAGTTGAATCAATTTTGCACCAGCGCCAAAACACTAAGCGCAGGATGGGCCATTTTGAGCGCACCCGCCTGGAAGTCTATGTTGAGGAAGTGCTTCGTTTGAATATTCATTATTCTGGCCAGAAGGCCAAGTTCTGCTAACTGGATGGCCTTTGCTCGCCCTGTTCCAATGCGTTTTCGGTATTTTCTCTTGCTTTTTTTTCCAACCTTCTTTGAATTTTCGGATGTTGAGCTCAATGAATTTGGCCCTATGTTAGCCCTATGTTGGCCCTAGTGCCCCAATGTAAAAGGTTGCTGGGTCCGGTTCAGAAGCCAAATTCCAAAAGGTGGGCCGGCCGCAAACAAGCTGTTTGCCAGCGCATTCTAGGGATTCTTTTGTGCCAATGGCGCCAAAAAACGGAAAGCTAATTGTCTCGACATAAAGTGGTGAACCGCGCCCCCAAAAAGAATAAAGGCCAAGCTGTGGCTAGGGCCTCCAACTAGTCAATTCTCGGGCGCAAGGGCATGGGAACAAACAAATCATACCAGGCGGCTCATGGCGTGCTGTTCTCCTTGGGCCCAGTTCCAGTTAAGTGGATATGATAACAATGGCCAAAAAGGGTTTTGCCCTAACTTATGGAAGTAACCGCTGTGGTTATACCCATTTATCGAAGGAAGTTTAGAAGTCAAACTTCCGACAATATGGACAGATGAAAAGCAGAGACGGGAAGAGTCAGAGAAGAGAAGAGAAGAAGAACGAAGATCAAGAAAGATAAAGTCTCAGAAGAAAGAAGATCCAGGTGCGCGAAACGGTGGAAAAATCGCGAAACACAGTGTTTTCCCATGATTTGTGGCTCCGGAGGGTCGAAAAGTAGGCTCGTTAGAGCGGCGGGTGCGGCGCCAGCTGGCCAGATGAGAGATGAAAAATTGCACGCCGTTGTGGCGCGAAGCACATACCGAAGTCAAAATGTACAAAAAGCAGAAGGTTCGGACCACTTTTGGAAGTTGAGATGTCGAAAAAGTGTACGCCGTTGTGGTGCGAAGCACATTTCGAAGTCAAAAGTGTGAAAAACTGAGGGGTTCGGAGCACTTTTGATGTGGTTTCGCGTGGCAGGCGCAAGGGATTGTGCACGCTGTCAAAAGTGAGCAAAACGAGAGGGTTTTGTAGCATTTCCAAAACTGATGCCAGGCGTGGGACATTTGACGAGGATCTGCAAAGATGCATTTTCCGTGGCAGGCGCAGTAGGCGCTGATTTCTTGAGAGGGGTTGCATTGTCGAGCATCAGATCTTCAGGTTTGCTGAGGTGATTTTGCGTGACAGCTGCAACACTTCGTATGGCCCGGTATCACTTTTACCTGGCAGGCGCAGTACTTTAGACAGGTGCAGTCGAAAAACCGCAAAACGCATTGGCACGAGGCCGTCAGCTCTGCACTCAACTTTCCAGTTTTGAAGGACATCTCGCAGAATTGCTTCGTTTTTGATGTTGTCAACTTCAAAAAATGAAAACGTCTCGCAGAATTGCTTCGTTTTTGACGTTGTCAAGTGCAAAAACTGAGGAGGCCTCGCTGAATTGCTGCGTTTTTTTGTTGTCAAGCTCAAACACTGAGGAGTCTCGCTGAATAGCTTCGCTTTCAAGCCTGCAGTTAGACAGACAGACAGACAGGCAGACAAACAGATAGATAGATCGATAGACAGATATATAGATAATTGCAACTACAACTATCACTACACTACACTACACTACTGCTACAACTACAAACACAAATATACTACGCTACATTACACCTCTAATTACACTACACTACACTAAAAACATCTAATTACACTACACGACACCAACTACACGAACAACTACAACAACAACTACTACCACAACTACAACTACAATTGCAACTACACTACACTACACTAATTACACTGCACAACAATATGACTACAACTGCACTACCTTACACTAGACTACACTACACTGTACCACACTACACTACACAACACTACACGACATTACAGTGGACTACGCTGCACTAATTACACCACACAACGACTACAGCTGCAACTGCACTTGCAAATACACTAATTACACTACATTACAGCTACAGCTCCACTACACTACACTACAACTACAGCTAAACTGCAGCTACACCTGCAACTGCACTACACCACACTACATCCAGCAGTTGTGGTAAGGTGACAGCTGCAACCATTGCAGCCCTTCCACAAAACACAACTTCAACCACCTGTCGGTCCATCAGTGGATTCGCTCTGCCATCCATGATTCACAACAACCAACATCTCCTATAGTTTTTCTCTTTTTGAAACTTCCGCCACTGCCTTGTGCGGTACTACTGGTAACCTCAATTGCAACTCCAAATTAAGAGATCCCATTGGAACGGGAGGTGGTGGCCCCCGAAGTCGCAAATTGCTGTTAAGGCGCCTTCATTGATTGCCCGCCCTTGGCGATGAGCCTCAACTCCCCAGTGCGTGGCCTCTGCGGAATTCGGAAGATGTTGTTATTGCTGACGGAGACCGGAAAAACAGAAATTCATGGATCGTCGGAAGAAAGCACCGTCAGAGTAGAGCCGCCCCCCTGGATCCAACCGCTGCTGCTGCTGCCAGTGAGGACCGGAAATTGGTATTCAGATGGACGGTGTTCTGTATCAAAGAAGCCTCTACCAAAGAAGCCTCACACCAGCCCAGCTCCGATGGGCCTGCAGCGGCAGTAGTGACCTGAGATGGATCTAGCTGGGAAAAGTTGTCGCGTTGCCTGGATGGAACAGGAGACTTTGCAATCCATTTGATGGTAAAAGCCCGGGATGTTCATATTGCGGGTGGAGCAACAATACGCTTTTAACAAGGCGGCAAAGATTCCAAGCGTCCAAATTCCTAATGCCAATGGCCTTGGCACTCTAAACAGTATGAAACGCCCTAGTCTCCGAAAGGATTGATTGTCCAAGCCCCTTTAGGAACAAACCCCGACTTGTAGTGGGTGCGGGTCTGTTTGGCGACAAGCAATTAAGTAACCGATGCGCGCATCCCAGTAAGGCCCCCGGCGAACAAATTGCACGAGCAGCCAGAAGAAGATGACTGAAAAAATCAAAATACCTGAGATCTCAGGGGTTTCAGCCTCAACATGAAACTGGGCAGTTGTGCACAACTTTACTAGATGTTTCAAAACGATGTCTAAACAAGGAGTGAAAATGAATGGATTGAACTTGCCAAAGCAGTCTGCAGCAATGCAGCAAGCTTTGTCCCCTGTCAACAGCAGGCGCTGGTCATTGGCCCATGGGTAAGCATTTCGGGGGTGCCAAGCTGAATCCAAGAACCGTTTTAGCCCAAAGCAGCGTCATAACCAAAGGCGCAGCCAAAGGGGGAAACTTGTCTTTTCTAACTTGCTTCTCCTGAGAATTACACCGGCAAGAGACCCCAAACAGTGTGTGTGTGTGCGGGGATAATGAAGGATAATTTTGAGGATGATGCGAATAATGGTGGTGATAATGATGATGATGATGATGATGATGATGATGTTGCGGGCGATGATGTTGAGGATGATGACGTTGAGGATGATGGGGTGCAGGATGTCGATGTTTAGGATGATGAGGTGGGGGATGAGGTTGAGGATGATGATGTTGAGGAGGATGAGGGGGAGGATGATTGTGCGGAAGATGAGGTGGACGATGATACGGTGGAGGATGATAATGTTGAGGATGATGAAAAGGATGATAACGTTGCGGAAGATGAGGTGGAGGATGATGTTGCGGACGGTCAGGTGGAGGATGATGATGTTGAAGATGATGATGTGGAGGAGGAGGAGGAGGTGGAGGAGGAGGACCGATCCCCAGACTGCGACCCGCAGTTTGTGCGAGCCTGCGCAGTTGAAATTCACATGGGCAAAACACACGAGCCATTCCATGCAGAAATTGAGAAGAAAAATGCCGCCCGAGACGTTCAGTGCAGGTTTTGTGCGGGCCTGCGCAAGCGACATGCATTTGGACATCTCAGAAAGGCCATTTCATGCGGAAATTTACAGGAAAAATGCCGTGCACCAGAGGTTAGGCGCACATTTCGCGCGAGCCTGCGGAGTCGAAATTCACATGGACACGTCGCAAGGGAAACTATATTATGCGGAAATTTATTGGAAAAATGCCGCGCCCCGGGAACACCGCACAAGTTTTGCGCGAGTCTGCCTAGTCGACATGCACATGGACAAAACACAAGAGCCATTCTATGCACAAATTTTACGGGCAAAACGCAGAGCCTCAAACCGTTACGCGCGCCTGGGCAGTCAAAATGCACAATGGACATGTGAGAAGAGCCGCTTCATGCGGGAATTTAGCGCCCCAGACGTTAGGCGCGCGTTTTGTGCGAGCCTGTGTAGCCCAAATGCGCATGGACATGTGGGAAGAGTCATATTTAAGCCGGAATTTACAGGAAAATGCCGCGCCCGCGACACAAGTTTTGTGCAGTTGCAATGCACATGGGCAAGACGCAAAAGCATTTTTTTGCACAAATTTACGAGAAAAATGCTGCGCCTCAGATTTTTATACGAAATGCACATGGACATGTGAGAAAAGCCGCTTTACATCGGAATTTAGGGGAAAAAATGCCGCGCCCCAGATGTTAGGCGCATGTTTTGCGCGAGCCTGCGCAATCGAAATGCACATGGACATGTGAGAAGAGCCCTGTTATGCGGAAATTTACCGCAAAAAATGCCGCGCCCCAGGACCGCGACACAAGTTTTGCGCGAGCCTGCCCAGTCGAAATGCACGTGGACAAAACACAAGAGCCATTTTAGGCACAAATTTGCAGGAAAATGCCGCACCTCAGACGTTATGCGAGCTTGCGCCGTTGAAATGCACATGGACAAAGCACAAGAGCCATTTTACGCGAAATTTTACGAGGAAAATGCCGGGCCCCAGACTAGTGAGCACCTCGATCAAGCATCGGCCTTAACCTTTACTTACTGAAAGAACCCCTCAGTGTGGACACACTGTTCAGGGAAAAACAACCGTTGTTCCGAGGCGAGGTGCCCGCAGCTAACAGGAACTGTACGCCGCAGGCCTGGGCTGACGGGCGCTGGGGGCAACATATGCGACCGCTTGGAATTGGGTCTACGTTGCCGGCTCATTGGCCTTGCTTCCAAAGGCAAAACGTTGCAGGTAGGCAAAACGTGGCACGACGGCCATGTTTGCAACAAGGATATGTTCCGTCAGAACGGCCAGCTGGGCGGCTGTGTGCAGCCAAAAGGCCATGGAAGCATCGCGGCCGCCAAGGGGACATGTCCATTCGAAGGGGCAATCCAAGTAAGCCTGGCCCGCGGCCACTTGGCATATTTCTTGTCGATGGCCCTAGACAAGCTTTTCATTATCGCCCTAAATGCCGATTTTTACCCTCGGATGAGATTAGCCGGCGCAATTCAAAAAGCCAATGCCATGATAAACCCATTGCATTTCTTCGCCGGGCCGTCCTCGCATGTCTGCTCAAAAGCCAGCTTGGGTCCTGGCATTGGGCATCATAGGTGCTGTGATGGAATGACACCTCCAGAAGCCAGCTGGAGTTAGTCATTATTGTGATCAGGATGATCATCGTGGTTGTCACTATCTTCATCCCTGTCACGCTACTCATCACCATCACATCATCAAGATCATCAAGACACTTGATCTGACGCTGTTGACCCGGGTCGACGTTCCAGGTTGTGGGATGCCAATTCCTCCCCAGCCGCGCCCAGGCCTGCAGCATCGCAGGCGAAGACATTGCCACTGCACTTCACGTCTGGCGCCCGGAGCACAAAAGGTGGGCCGCTGGAAAATCTAGTTCAGCATGATATGTTTCACTTGTTGGTGTGGAAGGTGCGCTGCCCAAAATCGCCAGAGTTGGGGACCTCGCTCCCATATTCTCAAGTTACAAAGCTTATGAAAATTTTCTTGCACCCAACGAATCAAACCGCAATCGTGCTTTGTAGTTGTTGATTTCTCTGCGCTTTTCTGGGTTAAAGATGTGCTAGCGCATCTGTAGCTGTAAGTCTGTCGATAAAATTCCAATTCTGAACTAAAGAACAGCAGAGCATTGAGCATGACCCAAAAATGAAACTATATAATGCTGCTGTTTTTCCCGTGCACCCACACTGAAATGTCTACAAGTCCCTTTATACTGCCAAGCACGACCCGGCCATGGCAACATCGAAGTTCAAGTTCACTCGCGTGTGCATCCTTTAGTGCAATTTCTGCCTCGGTTGTTTTCTATCATGTTGTTGCCGCGCGTGACCCATCTGACATCTGCAAGCGCATTTTTCGCCATCTTCTCTCCCAAAACAAGTTGGAAAAGACGCTTCTTTGTAGAGACTTTAAAAAGGAAAAACACCAAAAGATGCAGGACAGTTTTACTTTCAAAATTAATAATGCCAAACTTAAGCTGTACAATTGAAATCCTTTTGGTGACTATCGTGGTAAAAGATCTCTGAGCGTGCTTTTGCCGGACCGCTTTTTGTCATTACAATCCAGAAAAATATAGCAGATCTAACTTTCGGAGATTCATTGCGTGTTCCAGAGCAGATCTCCTAGTTTCCCGAAAAACCTTTGTCATGTGCATTACATCTCAAAATATCAAGCATTTTTGTAAAGCCTCCTGCCCCTTTCTAAAAGAGCCAAAAACAATTTGACAAGGCCATTTTCTATGTAGAGGCGCTAAAGCAGAAAAATGCTAAAAGTGAATTTCAAGCTGTACCTTTGAAATCCGCATTGCTGCCCCATAGTTTCGACAATGGCGGGTAATTTTCTCTGAGCCGCGCTTTGTCTCACCGTTTTTAGGGATTACAATCCACATGCGTCCTACTTTTTTTTTACTTCCGCGCTTGTTCTGCCCAAAAGGCCAATAAAAATCGAATTTCACCTAGGTTCAAAGAATCCATGCTCAGGGGTCCTTTCAATTACAAAGCTGAGGTTCAATGCGTGATTGGCACTGTCGGGGTGATTGTGGGGCAGATTTGGTTTCACAATCAATAGTTCGCATTTTAAGTTTAAAATCTTTTTGCTGCCCATTGCTCTGGCAAGGACAGTCGCGGTGGAAAATCTCTGATCCGTTCTTTTGCCTGCCCGGAAAGGTTGACTGGCGGAAACAATGCCCGTTGAAATTCAACACATCAAAAATATCAAGCGCCATATTTTTTCGAGAAATGCAATAGAAAATGCATTTGACTGAAGAGCAGCAATTTTTTCCTGAAGAAAACATGCTTCCGGCTGCGCTTATCGAATGAGGTTTGCGTTCCTTGTGTCGAATGCGGGTTCCTGAAAATGAGGGGGCCTCAAAACAAACCGTTTTCGTATTGAAATAAGCTTCGGTGGTATCCCCAACAGTAACAGCCGCAACATTTTATTTTTACAAATCTTTCTGAAGCATGCTGCGAAGCCAAGAAAACAAAGAGAAGAAAAACAAACCTCTGGAACCTTCTCTCAACCTTCTCCGGAACCTTCTTCGGAACCCGTTGAACCTGACCTGGCCCTGCACCAACGATTCCCAAAACCTTCTCCGGGACCTTCTCTGCAACCTTCTCCGGAACCCGTTGAGCCTGACAAAGCCTCCCAGACCTTCTCCGGAATTCTTCGGAACCCTTTTGAATCTGACCTCCCAGACCTTCGCCGGAACCCTGTTGAACCTGACCTGGCTCTGCACCAAAGCCTCCCAGACCTTCTCCGGAACCTTCTCCGGAACCCTGTTGAGCCTCCCAGACCTTCTCCGGAACCTTCTCCGGAACCTTGTTGAACCTGACCCGGCGCCTGCACCAGTGCACACTGGAGCTATTCTGGGCTGACGGCCCCACAAGCTTACGCTGTTGGGGAAAAAGGTGTTAAACGCACTGCGCGGCAAAGGCAATAATATAAACTGTTTTTGGGGAATTCGGCACCAGCATGGTTTTGCCCACTTGAAACTATCTCTATAAAATGGTTAGTTTGGTGCTTCTTGTAAGCTTTGGTAATCGAATCTGGGTCTCAGGATTTAGATCGTGAGTCATCCAAATTTGGTTTAATTGGTCATTCCCTCTTGCCACTTCATTATTTTATTCAGTTTTCTGTAGATAATACCAGAAGCCCGCACAAGGCGGTGGCGGAAGTTTACCTATAGGAGAGGTGAGTTGTTGTGATGCATGGTGGCAGCGCGAACCCACTGATGTATCAAAAGGTGGTGGGAGTGTCGGGCTATCTATCTGTCTGTGTGTCTTTCTACCTATCTGTCTATCTATCTTTTGATCTCTTGGTCTATCTATCTATCTGTTTACCTATCTGTCTATCTACATATCTGTCTTTCTATCCCTCTATTTATCTGTCCGACTATCCATGTGCCCAGCTGTCTGTCTATCTATCTATATATCTTTCCATCCATCCATCCATCCATCCACCTATCTATCTATCTATCTATCTACCTACCTATCCATCCATCCATCCATCCATCCACCTAACTATCGATCTATCGATCTATCGATCGATCTATCGATCTATCGATCAACCAATACATCTATCTAGCTATCTATCGAACTAATCCATCCATCCATCCACCCACCCATCCTTCTGTCCATCTGTCTATCTTTCTACCCATCTTTCTATCCATCTTTCTACCTACCTACCTATCTACCTATCT